ACACGTGTCCTCCAGACCTGGACATGTGTTCTGCAGACATGGACACACGTGTCCTCCAGACATGGACACGTGTCCTCCAGACCTGGACATGTGTTCTGCAGACATGGACACACGTGTCCTCCAGACATGGACACGTGTCCTCCAGACCTGGACATGTGTTCTGCAGACATGGACACACGTGTCCTCCAGACATGGACACGTGTCCTCCAGACCTGGACATGTGTTCTGCAGACATGGACACATGTCCTCCAGACATGGACACACATGTCCTTCAGACCTGGACACGTGTCCTCCAGACGTGGACACACGTGTCCTCGAGACCTGGACACATGTTCTGCAGACATGGACATGTGTCCTCCAGACGTGGAGACACATGTTCTGCAGCCTGGATGTGTGTCCTCTAGATCTGGACACGCGTGGCCTCCAGACCTTCAACATGTGTCTTCTGGAGCTGGACATGGGTTGACTGTCACCACCAGACACGTGGTTGCTGTTTGCCACCATGGCCACCAGCACTAGATACATGTGGCCATGAGTCGCCCACCATGGCCACCAGCACCAGGCATGAGGTTGGAGGTTGCCGCCATGGCCATCAGCACCAGATACATGTGGCCATGAGTTGCCCACTGTGGCCACCAGCACCAGGCATGAGGTTGGAGGTTGCCGCCATGGCCATCAGCACCAGATACATGTGGCCATGAGTTGCCCACTGTGGCCACCAGCACCAGGCATGAGGTTGGAGGTTGCCGCCATGGCCATCAGCACCAGATACATGTGGCCATGAGTTGCCCACTGTGGCCACCAGCACCAGGCATGAGGTTGGAGGTTGCCACCACGTCCACCAGCACCAGATACATGTGGCCGAGTTGCCCACCATGGCCACCAGCACCAGGCATGTGGTTGGAGGTTGCCATTGCGGCCACCGGCACCAACCACGCATGACCACGAGTTGTCCACCATGGCCACCGACCTTCAGAACTGGGACAACTTCACCATGCTCATGGTGGCCATGACCCTCCCACACCTCCTTCCTCCCCAACAAGCCCCACGGCCTCGGTGCCCATGGTGGAGCCACGGGACGGTGGCAGCTGGCCACGTTTCACAGGGCTTTATTCCAGGAGCTCTTCTCCAGCGCCGGGAGAAGAAGACCTCCGGTGTTTTGAGGGACAGGGTGACGGGGAGGCCTCGTGGCTCAGACACGGCTGTTCCTCCTCATGGTCTCGTGGATCCAGGCGGTGAACTCGCAGACGCGGGTGTAGACGCCCGGTTTGCCCTGTTGCCCGCACACCTGCATCCCCCACGACACGATGCCCTGGAGCTCGTTCTGGCACACCAGTGGACCTCCCGAGTCGCCCTGGTGGAGAGAAGAAGCCCGTGAGATGGTCCCATGGGTGGTGCCTCCAACTCCACCCAACTCCATCCCATGGAGACCCTTCAAGCCCCACGGTTCTCCCTCGGGCACCACCATGTCCCATAGGGTCAAGGCATGGAGACCACCATGCCTCTATGGTCAAGGCATGGACACCAGGATGTCCTTTAGGATCAAGCCATGGAGACCACCATGCCCTATAGGGTCCAGGGTATGGAGACCATCATGCGCTATAGGGTCCAGGGTATGGAGACCACCATGCCCTATAGGGTCAAGGCATGGACACCATGATGTTCTGTAAGGCCAGGGCATGGAGATCACCATGTCCCATGGGGTCAAGGCATGGAGACCACCATGCCTCACAGGACCCCATGGCACTATAGGGACCTCCCCAGTGCTATAGGGACCTTCTGGGCCTCAGCTCCAGCACCCTGTAGGACATTGTGGTGTCCGTGCCTTGACCCCATAGGGCATGGTGGTCTCCATCTCTTGACCCTATAGGGCACGGTGATCTCCTTGTCTTGACCCCATGGGCACAGTGGTCTCCATGCTTTGATCCTGTAGAGCATGGTGGTCTCCACACCTTGACCCCATGGGGCATGGTGGTCTCCATGCCTTGACCCCATGGGGCATGGTGGTCTCCTGTAGTGCCATGGGGTCCCCATGGCACCCTGGGGGGGCTGAAGGATTCGTAGGGATCCCTCTAGCACCCAAGGTGCTGTATGATGCTTGGCTGGTGGGTCCTACAGCACCCTAGAGCACCCAGGGGTGCACACGGTGCTCGGCGAGGGGGTCCCTATAGCACCCGACGTACCTATGGAACCCAGGTGGTCCCTAGAGCACCCTGGGGGTCTCCATGACACCCCTTGGAGCACCCAGGGTGCTGTATGATGCTTGGCTGGTGGGTCCTACAGCACCCTATAGCACCCAGGGGTGCACGCGGTGCTCGGCGAGGGGGTCTCTATAGCACCCGATGTACCTATGGAATCCAGGTGGTCCCTAGAGCACCCAGGGTGGTCCCTGTGACGCTTGGATGGGGTGAAGGTCCCTCCAGCACCACGTGTCTCCAAGACCAACACACCACAGGGTTGGGTTCCTCTGCTTGGCCCTCAAGAGAACAAGGTGCCCCCACCCTAATTCTTCTCCTTTGGGGTGTCTCCTGGTGGGTGGGTGGAGCCACCTGGACCCCACCCAGACCTACCTGGCAGGAGTCGGTGCCCCCTGAGCTGACGCCGGCGCAGAGCATCCTCTTGGTGATGCCCTGGGGGTAGAGCTTGGCGCACTCTTCGTTGGGTATGGTGTAGACCACGCCGCACTGGAGAACATCGGGGAAGTAGCCTGGGGACAGTGGGACATGGTCAAGGGGACGTGGCACATGGGGAAGGTCCTCAGGAGAAGCTGGGAAGAGTAGGACCTTCTCCTTCTTAGGGTGCTGTGGGTGGTGACACCCAAGCGTGGTAGATGCCCTCAAGGTGAGGGGTGAAGGGGCACCTTGAAGGTGATTTGGAGGTGCCCGTGGGGGTGATGTGGAGCTGGTGGAGAATGGAGATGCCCCCGACATGCCTAAACATCCTCAAGACCCTGAAGATGACCCCAACATTCTGAGATGCCTTCAAGACCCTCAGATGACCTCAAGATGCTGAGACATCCCCAGGAAACTAGGTGGCTCCAAGATACTGAGATGCCCCCAAGACCCTGAGATGCCCCCAGGACCCTGAGATGCCCTTCAAGACCCTTGAGATGCCCCCAAGACCCTTGAGATGCCCGAGATGCCCTTCAAGACCCTTGAGATGCCCCCAAGACCCTCAGATGCTTCTCAGGACCTTGAGATGCCCCCCAGAACCCTTGAGAACCCTTCCCCGTGGTCCTTGAAGGTATCTCGCCTACCTTCAGGGCTACTGGTGCTTCCCCACCCCGAGACAATGCACTCGCTGTTGGGGGGAGGACACCGTTTGGGTAGGGCCACCGGGTGGACGTGTTCGGTGAAGCGGGCCGGTTTCTGGAGCTTCAGGAGCATGATGTCACTGTCATGGCTGGTGGCATCATAGTCAGGGTGGATGAAGGCCTTGGCCGAGTTCATGCACTGCTCCGTCCCTTCCTTAGTCCTCAAGCTGTGGTCGCCCATGCGGATGGGGATGGAGCTGGAGAAGATGGAGAGAAGAACCACGGTGAGGTTCCTTGGTGGGCGTGACACGTGCCACAGAAGGTCCACGCGGTGGAGGTCGGGTGGAGGTCCTGGAAACGGGGCCAAAAGGCTGCTTCTTCCTCGCAGGAGAAGTTGGGACCACCCAAAGCGTGGAGGAACGACCACGTTTCTACCTCGAGGAGGTGGCTCCATGATGGTGACCTCCGTGGTCCTCCTGTGGACTCAGCACATGGGTGTCACGTGCCCAGGCCGGTCACACCAGTTCCACGGATGCCTCAAACTGGTTTGCCGCTCTCCACCCAGCCTCTTGTGGTCCACGTGAGGACCAGGCCCCCAAAGTTGGTGGGAACACGGAGAGGTGGAGACCTCTCTTCCAACCCAACCGTTGGTCACCAAATCAGTTGAGGTCCTTCTTGGCCAACCTCCCTACGTGGCCACCTTCTGGTGGCCACAGGTGGCCAAGGGAGACCACACAGCTCTTGGGGAGATGTTTGCATGACCTCAGGAGATGTTGGGTTTGTTCAGGAGATGTTGGATTTGCTCAGGAGAATGCACCTGGGTGGTTGTGGTGGCCAATCCAGTTAGATGGGCATTGTGGAAGCC